ATAGTTTCCTATATTGTCCACATATACATATTGGTTTGGTTAATTAACCTAGCCTTCAAAGAGATAAGAAGCAGAGAGGAGTAAAAGTGTAAAGTGTTGAAAAATTGCAGTGAATGTATTTCTTATTCGCTTTAGTTATTCAAATCTTTAGCTTAAAATAAGTGTGTCAGCTCTTGTCTTGAAAGCTAAGTTAGTTACGCCATGTCCTAGACTGTCCTTGATATCCTTGTAATCGTTAATAACTGAATTTGGTCTATTGAGGGGAAATGGTTTTCCAAAAACTAACATTAAAAAAAAAAAAAAAGTTTGGGAAGGTCAGTTTTTGAAATATTTGACCAAAATATGTAACTAGAAAACTGTAGGCAACTCTTAACTGGGTTTGGAAAATATCCACTTTTGAACCACCTTAGAATTTTTCTTTAGGTGGAAAAAGGTGATGTAATAATTTATACTATTTCTGTTACTGTGACTTTTTGCTGATTTGGGGACCTGGAAATGAACAACCCACGAAAACATTTTGGTCAGTATTTGGAGGTGGAGAATTCAGGTGCCTGCAACTTGTCATTTTAACGATTACATATATCATGTTGCTCTGGTGCTAGTTTTTGGTGTTTCTTCTGATAATACAAATTCATGTCAAATGTGCTTTTGTAAAGAGAGGATGATGTGAGAGGAGCTGACATTTATGTGCCAGATTCCGGGCTATGGGATTCATGCGTGTGGTCCTATCCAATCCTCTCTATGTCCCTAAGAAGACAGGGATTTTTGTTATCCCTTTTTTATAGAAGGGGAAACTGAGACTCAAAGAGGTTAAGCAATGTGCCAAAGATCACAGCTGGCTGCAGAGCTGAGGTTCAGACTCTGGTTCATCTCTGAGCTCACCTGAGGATGTTAAATTACAAAAGGTTTATTGGCATTCTTTATCTTCATTTGACGTCATCTGACAGAAAAGGCTGTGTCAGATACTGGTTGGGTCACACAGGTCTTATGTTGAGGTTTCTGCAGTTTCTAAATATAGAGCTAACGTGATGTGCTAATCCATTTGTTTATCAGTGAGGTAGGGCAGGAGTTCTACCTTAATGTTAAACATCAAGGCACATTCCCAATTCAATCAATTAGCCTTTATTTTCCCCTAGAGTTCGCGTGCTTATTACATTTGTATTTTAGATGCCCGTCAGAAACTTGAGGCTCCTCAAAAAGAGAAACATAAAAAGAACAAAGAAAAACATAAGACCAAGAAAGAACATAGACGGAGGAGAGAGAAGGTGAGTAACTTCTGAGTGTTCCAGGATCAGGGTGTGGGGTCTGATGCTCCTGCTTCTGTCGTCCAGACAGACTCTCAGATGTGACACACGAAGCCCATCGAAGAGTGCATCTTGTTGCCAGGATGAGGGCACATGGGTTCCTCGACACCCTGACAGAAGTGTGGACTAGACATTCAATGTAAACTCTCGATTTTCAGAACTTTGTTTTTATTCAGCCAGACTATTTAAACTGGTTTTACTTTGAAAAATTTTAAATCCGTAAGCATTAAAAAGTATGAAAAAGGACATTTAAGTGTCTTTGAGTAATGGCTGAGTTTTAAATAATGAAACGATTTTATTTAATTATTCATTCCATATTAATGGAGGTATTCTTTTGAACACTTCTCAACTACTTTGTCATCATCATACATAAAGATGTTGGTCCATAGCTTGCCATTTGAAGTGAAGGAAACCTGAACGAGTAGTGCGTGTTCACTGTTGACATCCCTCATTTCATCGTCCGTGTCTTCTTTTCAGTTAGGCACAGGCTTTTAATTCAGTTAATGTTAGTGTCAGGTACCCAAAGTCGTCTGGGCAGTAGTTGGATCAATTAGAAATAGTTCCCTTACTGGCTGTCAGAAAAAAAGATTCCTGAGCATAGAGGGTAAGAAAAGTTCTCTTGTAGAGAAAGGAAAAAAATTGGTGCTGACAGGTTCAAAAATCAAATTCGTTTGTTTCTTAGCAGTGTACATGCTTTTCTCTGACTTCCTACCAATTTCTTCTTTGTGCATTTCTAGGGCACTTGCCATCCTGATGTGTAGTTTATCACATATGCCTAACAAAATGGACCAGTCAGGTTCATAGGAGGTGGCAGGGGTCACCTTGGATAAGATGGGGGCTAAGTGTCGAGACAATATCCTGCCTATATCCTTCTGGTTCTGCCGTATGTCACTAGAGGGTCATTTCTATGAGTGTGTGCAGGTGGAGAGAGTGCACAGCTGTATGTTCCTGGTCTGTCTCATACTAAATTAAAGCTCAATCCAAATGAGATTTTTTTGTTTTTGTTTTTAAATAACTCTAGCTATCAAATGTCTCATTATCCCGAATTAGGGAGGGAAACATGTATGTGTGTGTATCTTTGTCCACCACTAACAACTCCTTCTTTTTCTTTTTTAAGAAAAAGAAACACCGGAAGCACAAACACAAAGGCAAGCAAAAGAATAAAAAATCAGAGAAAAGTAGTAGTTCTGAGAGTACAGACAGCAGTGACAGCCAGAGTGGTGAAGAAGGAACCGCAGACATGTCACCCCAAGAACTGCTGAGACGGTAGGCAACGGGAGACAGTGGTTTTCAGAGACCTTTCAAAGGCTTATTAAAATCTTGTTGTATTTGCTTAGAGGCAAATGTCAGAAATGATAAATCTGCATATTAGTCTTTTTTAAAAAGTTAATTTTTAATTACATAAGTAATATGTGAATATATTATCATTGTGAAAGTTCATACCTTAGAGATAAAACATAAAATGGCCCCTGACCAATTCCCCAAACCTCCTCTTTCCACGGTAACCTCTGCTGTCACTTTCATATGTAACTTTGAAGAATTTTTTGAACAACCACACACATGTAACATACATATACACACATTTTGTTATGCATTTTTAATATAATATAATTTTATGTAGCATAAATCTATAAGGTATGAACATTTAGAATGAATAAATACTGTCCAGTTGTTTCCAAAAGTGGCTGTATCAGTTTAAATTATGAAAGCAGCTGTTATTGTATCAATTACAAACAGTATAAAAATGTTTGCCAGTATGATGGGTAAAGAATGGCATCTCATTTTAATTTGCATTTCCTGGATTGTTAGTCAGGTTGCGCATCCTTTGCTATGTGTCTCAGCCTTTGCCATGTGCTCTCTCGTGAACAGCTTGCTCATGTCCTTTGCACAGTATTCTGTTTTCTGTTAGTTTCTTTTACTGGTTTTTAGGTACTGTTTTACTGATTTTTAGGGATTAAAAATAATAATTCTGGATATCAATCCTTTTTGTTTTACTGTGTTACTTATCATATGATTTTAACTGCCTTTATTGTATAGAAACTTTAAGTTTTGGTGCACTCAACTTTACCAATTTTCTTTGTTGGTCTGTTTTACATTTTTGTTTTTTAAAGTTTTTCATTACACACACACACACACACAATTCTCATGCTTTTATTATAGTTTTGTTTTTGTTTCGTATATTTGGATTTTTTTTTTTTTTTTCAAACAGAGTAAGGTAGGCATATAATTTATCTTTCTCCAAATGGATAGGCAATTGTATCAGTTGGGGTGAGTAAGCTAGCTGCGATTAAAAAGAACCCCTACATCTCAGTGGTATAGAACAGTGAAGCCTAATAGAATTGAGCTGTCTGGTTTTTCAGTTTGTATCTAACTTTCCTTCTCTCTCACTTTTATTTCATTTTCCAGGCTAAAACGTCTTCCGCTAAGGAGGCAGTAATTGAATTCTGCCCTGGCCTGTCCTAGCACCAGATCGCTTCCAGGATAGAAACGCATTGAATGCTCAGTTAATACGTTGTACAGATTGTATTTATATGTAAATTCATGCTGTAAAATAATTTTTAAAACCTTGACATTGCAAAGGCTGTCTTGGAAGGTTGCAGAAATTGCTTTCTATTTTTAATTTTAGTGTCAAACAAATTCAGACTGTACAGTTTAATTAAAATGAAAATTTTTTATTCATGAATTTTTTTCTTGAAATTTTAAAGCAGAGGTGAAAAGTGAAGCCTTTCTATTGTTTTGTTAGGAAGTAAGCAGAGTCCGGATAAGGACAGTTGGACTTAGTTAAGAACTTGCACAAGAAGGAGACAGTCCCTTGCTTTCTGACGCCTGTGGTTTCCCTGGGAGAGTGGTTCCTCCCTCTGGGGGTTGATGGTGGTGGCCAGGAGTCCAGTGTGTGGCGCAGTGCCACGATCTCGGCAAGTGGCCTCAGCCTCTCAGGGTAGATGTCACCAAAGTGTCTGAGGCACCCAGACCAAGAGCAGGAGAGTGTGCATCCACTCCTTGCTCTGAGGCCGCGTCATCTGCACTGATGAGACCTTTGAAAAAACTATAGACGCTTTTTACATTATCAAAGTAACATCATAAAATGAGAACAATTTTAAAAGGAAGAAAGGCACTTCTACCACTTCTATCCATTCAGACATGGCAACCTAAGCTTGCTTGCTATTTTTTTTTATGCCTACAGCACCTAGTATTCCTAGGTGGTCTCCCATCCAAGTACTAACCACGCCCAAACCTGCTTAGCTTCCGAGATCAGAAGAGACTGGGCACGTTCAGGGTGGCATGGCCATAGACTCCTCCAGTCTTCCTAGCAGTGGGATCGCTATCGACCAGATGTGACATTTCGTTCTCTGTTATTGTCACTGGCATTGTGACAGATATTTCCTTCATGTTCTTATATAGTATGTCTACCTGCCCCTAATAGCTGCGTCTTAATTCATCCAGGGCCTATTCTCTAACTTGTTGACTATTTCTCTGTTGTCAACATGAGTGGGTTGGGCCGGAGCCCTTACACAGGCAGAGGACACGGAAATCGTCCTGAGGGAGGGAGCCAGGAAGACCCAAATGGAGGTCGCGAGGATGGGACCACTGGTTTCACATGCTTGGCCTTGTTGTTCCTTTTGTGCCCAGAACGTGAAGCCCATTTTTCCCGGGCGCGGGGCGGGGTTGGGGTCGGGGAGGGTGGCGGATCGAACTATTTCTGCAGCGAGTGAAGGCAGTGAGATGGCCGAGCCCGGGGAGGGCATGTTAGTTCCAAGGGCTGGGCACCGAGCCGTGGGCGCGTGGGGCCGCCGTTTGCCGCTAGACCCCAGTGTCGGCCACCAGCAGGCGGGGCTCCGAGATGGCTTCCCAGACACCGCGCTCCCCCAGCTCCCCAAAAGCCCAGGACAAGAACAGGAAGACAGCGCTCCAGGAATCCACCATGCAGCCGCCCGTGGTCCCAGCGGCCGAGGGCGCACAGGAGTCCCACAAGGTGCCCTGGGCTACCTTGGTCAAGGCCTACACCCAAATACAGCTGTCGATCTTGGAGGCGCAGCGGGGCCGGCTTCTGGCTTCCCTCAACCCTCTGGACTTAAACCAGGACTTGCCACCACCCATGCCTCCGATGCCTGAAAAGAAGTCTTGGGGCGACCAGGAGCCCCTCTCCAAGGTCAGAACCGCCCCTGGGGTGGGGGTGGTGGCTTGTTCCACACGTGGGGAGGGCACAAGCTGGCAAGAAACCTGTGAGAGACCCACCTGGCTTTGCTAGGACCCCCAGTGAAACCCTGGGTCCAGTCATCTGCCAGAGACACACCTGGTGGGCAGAGCCTTGGAAGTAGCCCAGGCGCTCCCCGCTGTCATCTCTGAGGAAACAGGGCTGTCCTAGGAGAGGAGGACTGTGTTCCAAAGTGGCTACCCTGACCCAACCCAGACCCAGTAGTCTCCAGCTGAGCCTCCCAAATGTCCCTATGATGATGCTCCCAAGTGCCTACCCCAGGGTCAGTGGAGGAGCCCTTCCCACCCATTAAACAGCACCAAAAGTAACAGAAAACTTAGAGTAATAATAAAGTGAAATAGATAAATAAAAACCTAACAATACTACTTTGGTATCTGAGAGACATTACATTGATGAAACAAAGGCTGGCAGATGGAAAGAGGAAATAATCTGCGAACAGAGAATTCTTGGGGATGAAAGAGGATTTCCAAACCCAAATTGGAGAGGGGAGAACTGAAACACAAAATTAGAAAATAAACTCATGAGATTCTCTGAGCACTCAGAGAAAAATATATAAAGGAACAATAATTATGAGAGAAAAGATGAGCATGCAAGAGAGATCTAGATCCTGAAGAATCAACATACATGTAAGAGGTGTGGAGAGAAGGAAAGAAATCAGAAGGAAACAGTGAAGAAAACCTCCCTGGGTTGAGGAAAGACTGCTCACGTGGACAGAGATGTCAAGTTCAATGCAAGCTTGCAGGGGAATGTGACCTACACCTGGTGAATGCATTCACTGCAAGGCTCGGAGCAAGGTTGTCCCACACACATGAAAAAGCCTGGGATCAGACTGAGATCCAGGCTTCTCCAGCCATTGGAAGACCACTGAGCAGGGTCCATAACTGGGGTTATCGATCGGCTGTCTGTCTCTGTCCCGTCCCTGTTCCCTTCTCCCCCGAAATGGGGTCTCCATGGGGAAGTGTGTTTGAAGAAAAAGCAAAGTGTGTGCCAGTGTTTTCGCTGTGTTTTTAGTTGTGCTCTTCTGATTTTTAAGTAAAGTTAAAGGAACGAACAGGAAATGTATTTTATTTGTCTTCTCAGTAGAACATCCTCGATTCAAATTCAATAGACATAAAAGTTTTTTTTTTTTAAGAATTAAATGTCTCCCTAGCACCCTTCCTCCCCAACTACCCATTTCCCTCTACAGAGACAATGTTTCTAGTTTCTTCTATGTCCTTACAGAGATATTTTATCCATTTACCAGCACATACGTGTACATCCCCCCGCCTTTTTTATATATAAAGGCAAAATTTAGGTCTCTTCTGCATCTGGTTTTAGTATACTTTGGAGATCTTCCCATATCAATGAAGAATACCTTCCTTGATCTGTTTTTACCGATAGTATCCTATTGGCTGGCTGTTCCCTGATGACTTTAATCAGTCACCTATGGATGCACATTCAGATGGCGTATGATTTTTTTTGGCCTGAAATTTTTTTCTTTTTTTAAATTCATCTGTATTTGTCACTACCTTTTAAAGCCGAATGTGATTTAAGCACTACATTTCCAGCCACAAAACTTGCTCTAGTTACTTTCAAATGGCTTTACAACACGCCTAGGTAGGTTTATAATTTTGCCACTCTAAACAATACTTTTTTTGGAAAACAAGCTCTATGGGTAGTTACTCCCATCAGGTTGGTTTATCTTGACATACTGATTTCTAGATGGCCTAAGGTTTTATGATCCATTAGAATGACAGAAGTTGAGAAGTTCTATAAAACTCTGAGAGGGAAGTTTGTGATCTAAGAATTCTCTACCTGGCTAAATTGCTGATTTTCCAATAAAGGCAACAGACATTTTCTTCAGAGCTGCAAAAACTCAGAAAGGATGCTTCTCTCTGAGGAAAAAGTTACTCGAGGGAACACTCAGGCGAACAACAACAACAACAAATGAAAATTTAAGAACTCAAGAGAAAGAGGAATTTAGAATAAGCAGAGAGGAGCAGTGACTGAAAAAATATACTTTGGAGATGTTTATATGGTGAGATCGATGTGATTGTGTAGCTCAATGAAAACGTCCTATGTCGCAATTTAAAATTGTCTCAAAACCTTCCCCTGACTTTCTGGAATATTAAAGATGAAGACGGTGGCCTTCCAGGCCATTTCGAATCTGGCTCATATCCCTGTTCTCGTTCTCTCTGACTTGCTGACTTTCAGGCAGATGCAGGTCTGCTCCCGTCAGGGTCGCCTCTGGCCGCCACCACCCCCCAGGAGGCTCTCCCTGCCCGGTGGTCTAAAGCAGCCCTCTGGCTTCCCTCTTCACGGCTCTAGCCTGTGACCTGGCACCACGTCCAGGCCATTTGATGGCTGCCCCCCACCACCCCAGCTCCTGACAGCGGGAACCTGTTCAGCCCCCTGCAGCACCCACACCCCCTCGGTCCTGTGGCACCTAGGACAAATGAAGGACTGCTACACATATAAAAGAAGTAACTTGCTTTTACAAAAAGTAGACAGTCATTTTTGTTAGCGCCTATGAAAATGTATCCATGTGTTCAGAACCTCTCTCCGCAGCACCTCGGGGTCTCTCTCCTTCCCTAATGGACCCCAAAACTGCTATGCACAGAAAAAACTGCGAGGAGGTCCCCAGAAAGGTCTGGATGGGGTTAAAAGGATTTCCCCTTTTCGCATATTCGTCTCTGCTTTCCCAGAATGAAGTTGTTTTTTAAGGAAAGAAACCGGGAAGACCTGAGACTCTTGCCTGGAGGCGGAAGCAGCTGGCTGAAGGCGTGCATAGAGCTGGGGGTGGTCCACCCGGGGCTGCCGCCAGCATTGCCGGACAGGTCCCCATCCCGTGGGCGCCACCCCGCCCGGCCACTGGCTGGTATGCCTACGCCCCCGGCGGCAGGGCCCCAACCCCTCCTTTCTGGGTCCCATGTTCTCACTTCCCTTCATACCGCACTGCCCCAGACTACGTCCCCTTGCCCCGCTATAACGTCTTCCTTCAGGGGAGGGGGAGAGTGGAACATCTCAAGCTTGCTCTTTTTTTAAAAAAAAACAAAACAAAAACAAAAACAACCCCCCCTTCTTTATTGAGGTGGGTCCCACGTTCTCACTTCCCTTCATACTGCACTGCCCCAGACAGACTACGTCCCCTTGCCCCCATACAACGTCTTCCTTCTCAAGCTTGCTCTTTTTTTTTTTTTAAACAAAAACAAAAACAACCCCCCCTTCTTTATTGAGGTATAATTCCTATATCATACAACTAACTCTATGTAGATGTAGAGTTCAATGGTTTTTAGTGTATTCACAGAGTTGTACAACCAGGACCACGATCATTTCAGAAGAAACCCCATACCCATTATCAGGCATTCTCCATTTCCCCTCAAGCTGTCGTCCCCACTCTAGGCCACTACTAATTAACTTTCTGCCTATAGAATTGCCTGTTCTGGACCTTCCTAGAAATAGGATCAAGCAGTATGTAGTCTTTTGTTTTTTGTGACTGGCTCCTCTTCCTTAGTATAATATTTTCAAAGTTCATATATGTCGTGGATGTATCAGTACTTCATTCCTTTAAAAAGTATACATATATGTTTTTAAAATAGACTTTATTTTTTAGAGCAGTTTTAAGTCCACAGCAAAATTGAGCAGAAGGTTTAGAGATTTTCCAAATATTCTCTATGGCCACACATGCATGGCTTCCACTTTATCAACATACTCCCCACTGAATGAAATATTTGGAACAATTGATGAGCCTATAATGACACCCAAAGTCCATAGCTAACATTACAGTTCACTCTTGGCGTTGTACATTCTATGGGTTTGAACAAAAGTGTAATGACATGTACTAATCATTATGGTATTGTGAATAGTTGCACTGCCCTAAAAAATCCCTGTGTTCCACCTGTTCATTCCTCCAACCCTCTTAACCCCTGGTGACCATTGACCCTTTACTGTCTCCATAGATTTTCCACTATATCATGTATTTGGATATGTACAGTATATGGTCTTTTCAGACTGGCTTCTTTCACTTAGTAATGCACATTTAAGTTTCTTGCACGTCTTTTCATGGTTTGAGAGTTCATTTCTTTTTAGCACTGAAAAATATTCCATTATCTTGATGTACCATAGTTTATTATCCATTCAACTACTGAAGGACATCTTCAGTTTCTTTGAGGTTGCTTCCAAGTTCTGGCAATTATGAACAAAGCTGTTATAAACATCTGTGTGCAGGTTTTTGTGTGAACATAAATTTTAAACGCCTTTGGAAAATACCAAGGCATGTGATTGTATGTTAAGGATGTTTAGTTTTGCAAGAAACTGCCAAACTGTCTCCCAAGGTAGCTGTACAATTTTGTATACCTACCAGCGATGAATGGGAGTTCCTGTGGCTCCACATCCTCATCAGCATTTGGTATTGTCAGTGTTCTGGATTTTGGCCATTCAAATATTATTATTGTTATGATTTGGAAATCCCTGATCACATAGGATGTGAAACATCCTTTCACATGCTTATTTGCTTTCTGTGTATCTTTCTTGTGAAGTGTCTATGAAGGTCATTGGCACATTTTTTAATACTGTTGTTTATTGTTTATTATTGTTGAGCTTCGAGAGTTTTTTTTGTTTGTTTGTTCATTTGTTTGTTTGTTTTTTGGACAGAGGAAGTAGTATTTATTGGTGAGCATATAAGGAGGGGACAGCACCAAGACTCTCATGAGTGCAAAGCCTGCCATTTGTCCAGGAGACCACAATTAGGAATGTATTAGACCCCACAACCATTGGGATGAGCTGCTTTTCAGCTACCATGTCTTCAAACTCATCTGCATTAAACTTAGTAACTCCCCACTTCTTGGAGATATGAATCTGTTGGCGGCCAGGGAACTTGAACTTAGCCTTGCCTAGAGTCTCGATCACATGCTCTTTGTTCTGCAGCTTGGTGCAGGTGAACATGATTGCTTGGCCAAAGTGGACCCTGGCCATTGTGCCCTGCGGCTTTCCAAAGGCACCCTGCATACCTGTTTGGAGTCTAAATTGGGGACAGTGTGAGGTCAGACATGAGTGTCCACTGGAAAAGGGCTGTCTCCAAGGTCCCTTAGGGCAACTCATACAAGCAACAGGTTGCATACACTACCAAGGATGCTGCTGTTGCACACTAGGCCCCCATGGAGAAAAGAGCACGTTTGGTTTAATTGGCCTAGTGAGCTTTGAGAGTATTTTGTATATAGTTTCCCTCGGTATCCTCAGGTGATTGATTCCAGGACCACCGCCTCAGATACCAAAATCCACAGATGCTGAAGTCCCTGGGTAAAATAGTGTAGGAGTTGCATATGCATATTCTCCCATATACTTTAACTCATCTCTAGATTACTTATAATACCTAATACAATGTAAATGCTATGTAAATTGTTATACTGTATCTTTTAGGGAATAATGACAAAAGAATGTCTGTACATTTTCAGTACAGATGTAACAATTTTAGGCCTAACTACATAGTACATATCAGGAACAACATAACCTTTATTTATTTATTTGTTTTTATAGTTTCGATTCATGGTTGGTTGAATCAGCAGATGGAAAATTTGACGATGTGGAGGGCCAACTCTGTTTTGGATAACAATCCTTTCGTAAATGTGTCTTTTACAAATATCTGCTCTTGGTCTGTGGCTTGTCTTCCCATTCTCTTTAAAAAATTTTTTTTCCAGCTTTATTGGAATATAATAGACAATTAATTGCTCGTATTTACATTGTACAATTCAATGAGTTTCTTTTTCAATTATAGTTGGCGTACAATATTAGTTTCAGATGTACTGCACAGTGATTAGAGATCCATATAACTCACAAAGTGATCACCCCACTAAATCTAGTACCCCTCTTC